TGCAGACGCAGGACAGGAAAGTCCGACTGGAACCGCTCGCGGAGCTGGAGACGAACAGCGCGGATCCAGGGGATCAAAACATCAGGGACCTCCCCCTTGCTGCGCAAGGGGAAGACCGTGGTGTAACGCGTGTAGTCGTCGACGACCAGCAGGAAGTACCGCTCGTGACCCTGTCCACGGACGCGGGCTGGGCCCCACACGTCCAGGTGGAGAGTCTGCAAGGGAGCCTCTGTGGGAGGGAACGAGGAGGAGTGAGGAGCGGCGCGCTGCCGCCCCTCGACACAGGGAAGACAGGGAGGAGCAGGCGAGGGTGGTAGAGGAGGCAGAGTCTCTGGAAGTCCAGAGACAAGGAAACGGCGGTGCATGCTACGAAGGCGCTGCACCGAGGGGTGACCAAGGCGGTGGTGCGAAAGGAGGGTCTGGTGCGACAAAGCGCGACACGAGCATGGGGCCGCTAGCTGACCTGACGCAAACGCAGACGCAGACGCAGCTACCTGAGGGGACACAGTGGTCAGTGTGTACAGACTCGAGCCAGGCTCTCGGGTGAACGTGGCCAGGTGCCGACCAGTCCGGGAGCACGTACAGTGGGTCACACGCTGACCTCCAGGGGTGAACTGGTCAACCCACACATCCTGTAGGTCAGCTCCACTCACCAAGTTCGTAGAGAACGAGGGGAGGTGAAGACCTGACAGGGAGCCAGACGGGACCGCCGGACACGGCAGGACCGTGGAGGAGTGCGCAAGGACTGGACCCCCAGAGGGGTCTGCCAGGGAGGCTGCAACCGGCCGACGAAGCGGCGTGAGGGTGGTGCTGTCGCGAAAGAAGGAGCGGGAAGCACCTGAGTCAAGTGTGAAGGTGTACAAGGCCTCAGCAGGCGCAGTACCAGAGAGAGCAGACTCACCAGGACCTGGAGCAGCAGCCTCACCAGCACCTAGCGCAGGAGACGCACTAGCACCTAGAGCAGCAGCCTCACCAGCACCTAGCGCAGGAGACGTACTAGCACCTAGAGCAGCAGCCTCACCAGCACCTAGGGCAGCAGGCTCTATACCTGGGTCAGGCGGTACGCACAGGGAACAGGCACGGTCAGCACTAGTAGGCAATGCATACATGGCAGTGAGAATAGCATCATAGTCAAGAGCAAAGATATCTACCCTCTGCCCAAGAAGCTCCAACCAGGTGGGGAGCTCAGCCTCGTCGCCAAACTCGATACGCCAGGCGTCGCTCAGACGGGTGAAGCAGCGGGACTGGGTGTGACCAAGTGTCCCGCAAGCCTGACCAGCCCGATCACCTGTGCGGAGGACGTACGGGCAGCGAACGGTACTCCGAGACCCTCGACTCGGAGCGTACCACTCGTGAAGCTGCCGGGACGTAAGTGTCTCGCGCGGACGCCGCTGCAGCTGCAGCTGGCCACTGCCAGACGCTCCCGACCGACCAGCCCCAGGGCGACAGCCACGACGGCTACCGCCACAACCCCAACTAGCGTACCACTCACGAAGCTGCTGAGGCGTGAGAGACTCGCGCGGACGTCGCTGGAGCTGCATCTGGCCACGGCCAGTAGCAGTAGTAGCAGTAGTAGCAGCAGCAACAGCAGCAGCAGCAGCAGCAGCAGCAGCAGCAGCAGTCTCGCAGTAGTAGTAGCGCGGGCAGGGCAGGCAGGCAAGCAGGCGTGGCAGGCAGGCAGGTAGGTGCTCACCAGTGGCGAGAAGGGCAGGCGCACGACGGCGGCGACGGCGGGGCCGCGACAGCTGCGGCAGAGCAGGACCGCGTCGGAGGTAGGGCAGGTCCGCTACAGCTGCTGCAGGGCGGGGACGTGACGGCGGCAGAAGGCTCCGCGGCAGCTGCTGCAGGGCAGGGCCTCGACGGCGGCAGGAGGCTCCGCGGCAGCTGCTGTAGGGCGGGGCCGCTACTGTGGCAGGTCACTCCGCGGCAGCTGCTGCAGGAGTGACGGCGGCGTCCAGGGGCAGCCGCGGCGCGCGAGGCTGCAGCGCGCTACGCGAGCCGCGGGCGCGGCGCGCGAAGCCGCCGCGGGCTGCGCGAGGACGGCAGCCGCGGCGCGCGGGGCTGCAGCGCGACGCGCGGGCAGCGAACGCGACGAGCGGGGCTGCAGCGCGACGCGCGGGCAGCGGACGCGACGCGCGGGGCTGCAGCGCGACGCGCGGGCTGTGGGCGCGACGCGCGGGGCTACAGCACGACGCGCGGGCTGTGGGCGCGACGCGCGGGGCAGCGACCTGGCGGGGCGGCGCCCTGGCCTGACGGGCCTGCAGGGGCGGCTCGCAGGCGTGACGTGTCTGCAGGTGCGGCGCGTGGGCCTTACGGGCCTGCAGGGGCGGCGTTCTGGCCTAGGGCAGCAGTAGGCAGCACGAGGGCTGCAGGACGGCGCGCGCAGCGCAGCACGTCACAAGGCAAGGCAGGCAGGCAGGCCAACACGTGGGGTAACGCGGTAACCGCAACGGTAGGTGGGCCCGAAACAAAACGGTCCTACGGACCTAGTGCTCGGATACCATGTCAGAATCTAGCAGCAGGATTGATTGAACTATCAAAGAGTTGGGTACAAGTATGAAACCCTAAAAGGGGTTGTACCCCATATTGGCTACCCCACTACAGCCTACACATATATAGCATGCATATACTTTGACAGGTACGGTTGTAAAACGATCTCCAGTCGAAGCCTCGCTTCAACCTGGAAAATGGCACAGGAAAAAAAAAAAAGTGTCACAATAAGACGTTAGATACATAAAAGAATACTTAGGGAAGACGGATCTGATCTAAGCAGAGAAGGTTGATGCCACGAAGAGTAGCGCGACTAGGAGTCAAAGCAAAACGTGAAGGTATTAGAGGACAAATGGCAGGGATGACAATCGAGAGGTGGATCTAGATTTCAGAGAGGTTGGAGGTTGAATTGAACAAGAGGTGAAAATGAGACACAATTCTAGGAGGAGGTAGAAGAAGGGTTGGTTGGGAGCACATACGAGAGGTTCTAGCTGACGTGGAGATAAGGAATCATGGTGATTGGTGGGCTCATGTTTGTTTCCACATCGATTGGTTCAGAACTACAAGAGTTGGTTCTGATTCAGCAGAGTTTTGGCAGTTAGTGGTTTCACAAAAATTCGGTCACGTGGGTAACATTTCGTCGGCTGTGTGATTTTGTCGCTAATCTGAACTCCCTAAACCGCACTGTAACACTCTTTACCACGCGAGACACAAAGTGGGTGTGGACATTTGAAGGGCGACAGGTGACATTTCCGTTGCTTTTTTGTTGCGCCATACAGGCTACATTCTCGCAACCTTCATACTTTGGTGACAGGCGTTTTTCCGATGGGTTTCCGCAGCTTTTCCGCAAGAAAAGCTACCGTGTACATTTTGGGCCCACAAGGAATTTCGCGATGATGAAGCATGTAAATGTCACGACGAGCGTGAGGAGACCGCGAAAACCTTGAATTATCATCTTGCGTTACCAGTCCTGGTGAATCCTGGCAGTCACAGTCGACGAACTTTGAAACGAGGAGCGCTAGCTGCTTTAATCAGATGTTCTGTCCTCAAGACACGTCAGATGCCGCGAATCACGTTTAATAACTCTCAAAAGTGACTCCAGTTTACTGCGAATACTGTACTAGTCGCTCCTATCCCGACCTTGTTCGGCACCCAAGTAATCAGTCAGATTCATACGGAAGTTAGTTACTAGCTATCAACTTGGTGACACCCAACAAAAGGTAGGAAGGATGAGGCTATTTGGGGAGATTTGAGACTCCACTGGAGCACGTAAGGTTGAGTTCGTAAGCAGAAGTTGTTAACACTAGTAGCGGAAAGGGAACTACAACGTCAAATGCGAGCCATTCACCTGGTGATTCCGCAATATGCTGTGCAAGAAACATCCACGGTCAGGCACATGAGTGTAAAGACGAAGTGGAAGAGGTAGACGAGAGCATGTATGTAGCGGGATGACGTGACGGACCGACAAAGCATCACCAAATCGCTGACAGTGGTGAATTCCTTGTTGACTGACTGCAGCAATGAGCAGCAGGCTCGAATCCGTCGGATCGGCAGGGCGTCTCCCACATGTTCATCTGAACGCGGCTCAATAATGCGCTTTGCGTTGTACAACGGTCATAATATAATTGTGGTTCATGGAGAGACACAGACAGCCCAAGATCGGCTCGCCGCACTTTATTCTCGCTAGTGTGCCCAGAATCCCATTCAGCGGTGTCCAACGCCGTTACAGAGGCAATATATTGTTTGCTTACGAGTCTGGTCTCCTATGATGGAATCTTGTTATTTTACATGAATAGCTGAAGTCATGAAAAATAAAGACTACAACTACAACCAAGACTACGGCGATGAATACGACTACCATACAGCAGCAACAACGAAAATAAGGACAACAATCTCAGCGATTTCACGTATTTTTTCTTTTAAATGTTGAGAGACGTATGTACGTCCGATCTGAACGAACGTACAGTTTCTATATATAGCTCTGTCCTCTCCCTCGCAATTGCTTGTACCGCATCTTTATAGGTTCTGGCCCCATTCCCCCCATTCACTCACAACACAACCCCTCCCAGTTCGTGCATTGCGATGCTAGCCATGGCATGCCGTGCGCTTCGAAGCGCAAGCTGCCTAACCATGCCATGGCGCTCTGCTAGCTCGCCACATCAGCGTTCCCAGCTTGTAATCGCTGCCGCCTCTCGAAGTTTACAACTCGCAGCTCCTCCCCGTTCCCTCCTCGTTTCCCCTTCGATTGAACGAAGCTTCGATTCGACTTGGTCGCTTGGTCCTAGTTGATCGATCAGTCGTGTCGCTCGATGGAGCATCACGCACCATATAACGTCTCTCTGGTCTTTCTGGATCTCTCTGTCTCGGCCTTGCGTTCCCAAGCAGATTCAAACCCGTTGGCACTCCCAAGCAGATTCAAACCCGTTGGCACTTTTTGCGTATACCTTGGTTGTTTTCTCTAGCTGTACTCCCGTTCTCGTACTTCTCATCGTCACTTCAGCGTCAGCAACATGTATTCGCAGCAAAGCTACGGCATGCAACACAGCCAGCAGGGCTGGAGGACCAGGCAAGTCTCACATCTCCCGTTTCTTCCTTTCCCCGTTTCGCCGTTTCCTAGTTGCTTCTGCTAGCGACGGCGTGATTTCACCGCCTCGCTAGCAGCGTACGCACGTGAAGTGCAACGTAAACCTTCCCGTTCTCACGTCGCTCCCGCGCTAGGCTTGCTCTCTTCTGGCTGCGCGCGCTCCTGTGGTTCCATGGCAGGGATATCGTGTTCACCGTTGCGGGCCTTGGGATTGCCGCGACCATCGCCACTGTGACTGTGGTGGGCGGCGGAGCGACTCTGCTCTTCTTCTCGCCCGTGCTGCTTTTCTTCTCGCCCATCCTCGTGCCGCTGCTGCTGCTCGGAGGTACGGCCATGAGGGATTGGCTGTTTCTGGCCTTTATGGATGGATCCTGTTGTGGTTTGAAGAGGACGCACGATTGGACTGCCGATTGTTGCATCTGCAGGCAGTGCATGTGACGTATGCTTCACATGCTGCACTTGGAATTTTACTTTGTTGCGAACTTGGAGCTGTCGCACCTGCCTCTTATTCTTCCCTGCCTCCTCTCTCTTGACCCTCGTTTTGCCTGTGTCTTCCAGGCGGAGCACTGGCACTGGCCACAGCAGCTGTAGCCACGATAGCAACGCTCGTGTGGGGATGGAATTACTTCCGCGGGAAGCAGCCATATGGCTCGGAGCAGGTGGATCGCTTGACTGGGGAGGTGAAGAACGCTGCTGGTTATGTCACCCACAAGGTGGCTGATACAGCCCGGTCCATTGGAGAGACGGGCTATGGCACGGCCAGGGACACTGCTGGGACTGCGTATGGTGCTGCGAGGGACACTGTGACCGGCTCTACTGGGCAGGCATACAGTGGAGCCAGGAATACGGCTGCACAGGCTGTGGGTGGTGCTGGTACGAAGCCCACTTCAGCTGCGGCTTAGGGTGGTTGTAGCTAGTGGTGGAACTATTGCAACGGTAGGAAATGGTGCAGCAGATGGATGGAGATGGTTCAGCTGAGATGATGTAAATTGATTGTACATATGTAAAGCTTTCCATGGAGTATCTTCATTCTGTTCAGGGGTAGACATTAGTACAGTACATCCATCACCACAACTCTTCATGTAAAAAAAAAAAAGGTTTCCATTCCAGTACCATATTGCAATTCCAGCTACCATATTGCCTAACGGCCAATACAGTTGGTTGCGACATTGCCTCCAACAAGAAACTGTATTGTACTGGGAGATTATACTGTACAATTCAGGAATTTTGAGACTATTTTACCAAGCAAACAGTGGCCTCAGATTGGTTTTGGGCTGGTCTGAAAAATCAGAGTAGGTCCAAAAAAATAAGCTGAAAATAAGACAAACCAGCCATATTATGCCATTTTACACTAGAAATCACATAGTTTTTCCTGTGTTTTCCCAAAAAAAGGCTGAAAAATCAGCCCTGGTTGAAAAAGCCTGAAATCTCAGTCTTTTTTACCAAATCAGCCTTTTTTCACTGTGCACGAGAAGCTATAAAATCAGACGTGACAGTTCAGTAACTGATGACATTGTTAGATGGAGTTCAAGGTTTCATTCTGTGAGTAAATCAGAAAGAGAATTAAGGTAAATGTTAACTCATGTATGCATTTTTTTCCCATCAGTTAGTGAGGGGGGGGTCTTGCCCTTCATTTTTTTTTCGAAGGGCTTTTTTTTGCTTTTTATCTGATCATATTTTTTCCCCCATTTTTTTCCCAGAAAAATGTCAGCCATCAACACAGCAGCTAAGCCTCTCAACCAGTAGCAGCAGCAGCGGCAGTCTTCCCCGCCACCATCCAACGTCCCACGATAGCTCTAGTAAGCACTAACACCCCCTAACACACCACCATACCGCACCACACCCTTGCCTCCTCCAAGCAACAAGTGCTCACTCTTCCAACCCCTCCCCCACTTGTAGCGCCCCCAAAATTGCTTTGACAGGCCCAACGGATCCACCATGAAGCAGTGGCAGCCAAGATGGCAGTTAGTACAGCCAACCCCCTAGCCCTCGAGCAGACTCTGTCTCATCCGCAATGTGAGCCTCTTCTCGCTCCTAGTAGCCACACCGCACGGGGAGGTGGGTGCAAGGACAGCGTTCTCAGTAGTAGGGGCGGTAGCGGAAGGGACGGCGGAAGCGAGGCGCCCTCCTGAACACACAGCGGGGGGAGAGGGGAGGGGGGTGAGCGAAGGGTAAGGGAAAGGGAACGGGAGAAGGAAAATGAGCACCATAGGGAAGGAGAGCGCGAAGGGGAGATGCGGGGAAAATCCCAGGGCTTAACGGGTACAGGTCCCAGTGGTAGTCCAGGAAGCCTAACAGATCCTTTGACCAAGGCGATTAGTGATGCTTGTGTGGTACAGCTAGCAGCAAGACAGAAATGGCAGGCAATGGCGGGCAATGCGAGCAAGAACAGCAGTGCTGCGTGTGCATGTACGTACCCATAGCCGCCTGGTCCTCCCGGGCGGAAGGGGCGGAAGCCAGGGCGGCGGAATCTGTGCGCCTTCATGCCGGGCACATTCGTGCGCTTCGCCACCACCTGCACACGCACGCCCGCCGGGGAAAGGGGGAGGGAGGGAACGGTTGGCCCATAAATAAAGCTGGGAGAATTCACCGTCGCCAAATCTCCAACCCCCTTCCCCTTCCACGCTCTCGACCCGTCCCCTTCCACGCTCTCGACCCTTCCCCTTCCACGCTCTCGACCCTTCCCCTTCCCCTTCCCGCCGCCTGAATCCTCCTCGTGCGTACCTTGAGCGGCCGGCCGTGCAGCTCCGACTCGTTAAGCAACACGGCGTTCGGCACCGCGTCCACCTCCAAAAACTCCACGTACGCGAACCTGCACGGGGGCCAAAGGCGTGGGCGGGAGGCGGAGAGGGGGGACGGAGGGGGAGATTGCGGGGAGTAGGTGGGGAAAGGGGATTAACCAGCAGGTGAAACTGAGAGTCTTGCCAGGTAAGGTTTCAAAATCACAAAACCGCGAGCCTTAGCGGGGAGGCGAAGCGGAACGGTTAGCGCGGGACTGACTGACCCTTTAGGTTGGCCGAATCGGTCGGTGAGGATGGTGACGCGGTTGACGGTGCCGCACGACTGGAAGTGCTGCTGCACCTCCTCGGGCGTGCACGCGTAGTCCACCTGCGCACACGCACGGCGACGGAAAGAACGCACCCACCCGCACGTACGCACGCACGCACGCACGCACGCAGAGACCCACGCATGAATAAAGGCTTCAAAGCTTGTTTCCGGGACGCCTAATCGAGGCAAAACCCAAAACGATGCTTTCAACTCGAGGAGAATGTTTAAGATTCTCGAGGCTGCTACGATATGGAGCGCGTGACAAAACGGTAAGTCACAGAACAGAATCGCGGTTGCGCCCGCACACGGATGGCAGCAAAGCAACGATCGGGTTACAGAAATACGTACGTTCCCCACGAACACGGATCGGGCGTCGGCCTCCTCCCTGCTGGCTTGAGATACGGCGTTGGGGTCTCCTCCCTCTGCCACGGGGATCCACCGAATGATAGCCAGAGATGATTAGATACCGCCCGTTTCTCTCACATGCGTCGGCTAGGACGGTGTTTTCGACGGTGCTTTTACTAGGCGAAAGGGATGAAGGAAGGAAGCGCGCGGGGTGTGATACGACGGGGTTAAAGCAGGAGCTTACCTGGAACGGCGCCCATCTCCTTCTCGACCCTGGCTTGCATCTCGCGCAACGCAGCGGCCTCCTCCTCCATCTCCCTTAACCGCTTCTTCATCTCCTCCAACTCCTGCAGCCGCACACCAATGGCGTGCCAGCCACGACAAGGGATAACCGGGGTTGACGACGATAAGGAAACGGGGAAAACACAATAAGATGTGTACCAGAAACACGCGCGAAAATGGATCAGATGATAATGGATCAGGGGAGACGCGCGCGAGTGGAGCGTAGAAGGAGCCGCACCTTTGCCGCGGCATCTTCACCGCCCTCGCCGCCTGTTGCCGATCCAGCTGCTGCGCCAGAAGCCCCGCCTGATGTTCCAGCGCCATCTGCCGCGGCTTCTGCGGGGGCCCCCGCAGCGCCTTCGCCTTCCTCCCCGGTGCCTTCCAAATCCCCCTCATACTCGCCCTCCGCCTCCTCGGGAATGTCGCCGCCGTACACCTCGTGCTCCTCCGCCTCGTCGGCCATGTGCGCGAACCCAGGCAACAATTAAGTGGTGCGGTCAAGTGTGGTAAGATATTCGAGACTAACCGCGGTAAAGATCGAGGATATGATGAAACCACGAACAGCAGCACGGAGGAACGTAAAAGGTGTTGAGCTGATCGTGTTGAGAAGGATTGCAGCGTAGAGGGGGTAGCTGGGTTCTTGTACACGTTTTGTAATTCGTCTGAAAAACTGAACGCGCGCGTGACCGCCCTCCGTAGCAGGCGGGGATTGGGGGGTGTAGTGGTGGGGGGGTGCAATCACGGGTTGCTGGGTGGGGCGGGTGCGCTTGTGCGCGGGGAAAGGGTGGAGTCAAGATCAGGGTCAGGGGGAGACCTGCTTTCCGAAAGCGCGCGGGCTAAACCCCGACCGGTGGGGTGTTGGTGTCGGGAATTGTGGGGTTGAGCGTCGCTGGTGAGGGGTTAGGGAATGGTGATGTGGCTGAACCCCCCTGAAAAACAGGAGAAATTAGCGGGCTGAAATGGCGAAGCGCCGAAGCAGGTTTCCCACATAAGCATCTCCATGTGGTTGTACGAAATCGAGGTCCTGCTTTTCCAGCAGCGGATGTACACTAGTCCACACAAGGTTAGCTCGGGTACTTACAATTTAAGGCATCACTCCCTTCTCACCCCCACCCTTTTGCTATTTTTCGCTTATTTGTCTAGCTTCATCTTGTGCATAATAAAATATATCAATTACCAAATTTCTCGCCGTGAGCATACGATTGGAATTTTTTAAGAAGCCCTTTCATATTAGTAAATCATTATCAAGTCGCTGTTTGGTGCCACTTTTAAGCATGGGTTAACATGTGCTAAATGTGAGAGTGCCATGTAGCAATCCACGATATGTTTTGAAGCCAACCAAGGCTTGTCACAAAAACGAGCCATAATCTCTAAGGTGTACTCTGCCACTACTACAAGGTGCACCTGCAAGAAAACAAGTTTCCATCGGCCTTTACGAACCACATCTGCCACCTCCACCTCTTCCCGGCACCGTCCGCACGTGCGCGTGCCATGCCAGTGACGAAGCGCCCGCTGACGACAGCCGTGGCCGTGGTGGCGCTGAACGCGGCGCTCTGGTGCTCCGCCAACTCCGCCTACGACTTCGTCTGCAACCTGCCGTACTGGCAGCGCCAGGTCCGCGCTTCCTTGCTCGCTCGCGTCGTCCTCGTCGCCGTAGTCGTCGTCGTCGTCGTCGTCGTCGTCGTCGTCGTCGTCGTCGTCTTCGTCGCTAACGGTTCACGCTTTCACGCCCTGCCCATTCCTACCTCGGTCAGCACCCTACCTCCCGTCTCCCTCGTCCCTCCGATTCTCCTATCTCTCCCCCATCCCCCCGCCGCATCGATCTCTCCCCGTCAGAGGGAGCGCCGCCGGCAAGAGCGGGAGCTACAGGTGCTGCTTGAGAGGCAGAGAGGGGAGCAGCTACAGCCGACTGCGCAACAAAGTTAGGGGCAGCGGCGCAGCGGCGAGGTGGGGGAAAGAGGACGAGCAGACAGAGCAGGAAGAGAGCGGGTAGCAGCAGCAGGGCAGCAGGTGGACGAACAGGAGCCGCAGGGAGCCGCAGGCACCAAAAAACGTTTCGTGGCGCTCTTCTCAAGAGAGACGGGACAGTACCTTAACTGAACCTTTTTGTTTCCGGGTTGCTCGGAGTTGCTTCCGGTTGCTATAAACGCTCTGGTATCTCTTAACTTCGCCCTGCCCGGGCCTCCCCGCTCCAGAGGAGTTCAGAGCGGTGTGTAGGAGTTCAGCAGAGTGGGAGTGGTTGCGGTTGGAGCAGCGGTGCGGGGGCTGGGACATGAGGGCTTGGCGCGCAGCTTCCTCTGTGACTGTGGCCTGCGAGTCTCTCACGCCCACACGCGCTAGTGGCCGCCACCCAGGCTCCTCGTGAGGTGAGGTGAGGTGAGGTGAGGTGAGGTGAGGTGAGGTGAGGTGAGGTGAGGTGAGGTGAGGTGAGGTGAGGTGAGGCGGCAGTGAGGACCCCGGTTGTAAGATGATGAACGTGTGTGTTGCTAGTCGCCTCCAGTTCCTTTCCGTGTGCCCTTTGCTTGCTTGTCCTCTCCTCTCTTGTTTCTCCTGCTCCTGAGCCACCACCACTGTACATGGCACGTCGGCACCGCATGCATCACCTCCAATACCATACCATACCATACCATACCATACCATACCATACCATACCATACCATACCATACCATACCATACCATACCATACCATACCATACCATACCATACCATACATACCATACCATACCATACCATACATACCATACCATACCATACCATACCATACAATCCATACCATACATACCATACCATACCATATCCATACCATACCATACCATACCATACCATCCCCATACCATAACATCCATACCATACCATACCATACCATACCATACCATACCATACCATACCATACCATAGCCATACCATACATACCATACCATAACATACAATACCATACCATACCATACCATACCATACCCTACCAGACCATACCATCATACCATACCATACCATACCATACCATACCATACCATACCATACCATACCATACCATACCATACCATACCATACCATACCATACCATACCATACCATACCATACCATACCATACCATACCATACCATACCATACCATACCATACCATAACCATACCATACCATACCATACCATACCAATACCATACCATACCATACCATACCATACCATACCATACCATACCATACCATACCATACCATAACCACTACCATACCATACCATACCATACCATACCATACCATACCATACCATACCATACCATACCATACCATACCATACCATACCATACCATACCATACATACCATACCATACCATACCATACCATACCATACCATACCATACCATACCATACCATACCATACCATACCATACCATACCATACCATACCATACCATACCATACCATACCATACCATACCATACCATACCATACCATACCATACCATACCATACCATACCATACCATACCATACCATACCATACCATACCATACCATACCATACCATACCATACCATACCACCACCTCCCTTTTTTTCAATCATTCTCAATCTCCTCCATTCACACACACTCCCTAATCCTCCCTCCCGCTTTCCATCCCCCTTCTCTCCCCCTCCCACAGCCGCACTCTCGCCCCGTTTCCCCCACCGCCCAATGCCCCTCGGTCTCTCCCCCCACCGTGCAGCGCTGCTGCAGAGGCTGCTGCAGCACGCGCGCGCCTACGTGCGCCACGACCTGAGGGAAATCGTGTGGCCCTCCTCGCTGCCCGACCCGCCCTCCGCCCTTCCCCCCCCTCGCCGCCTCACCCTGCACGAGCACCGCCAGGTGGGATAGCGTGGGCGGGTGGGGGGACAGGTGGGGGGAAAGGTTGGGGGGGCCTTGGGGGGCAGGCGGAAAAAGGCAGGACTGTGTGGGGACTGGTGGGGGTACTGGTGGGGGGACTGGTGGGGGTACTGGTGGGGGGACTGGTGGGGGTACTGGTGGGGGGACTGGTGGGGGTACTGGTGGGGGTACTGGTGGGGGGACTGGTGGGGGTACTGGTGGGGGTACTGGTGGGGGTACTGGTGGGGGTACTGGTGGGGGTACTGGTGGGGGTACTGGTGGGGGTACTTGTGTGACGAGGCTGAGCGGAAGTAGTCTGGCAGAGGGTAACCTCATTCCTCAGAAGACGAGGGCAGCAGGATATGAGGCAAGGCTGGTGAGGGTGGTTTGCAGTCACACCTCTCCCCCATCCACCCACCATACCTCCCTCCCAGCCCAGCCTCTCTGTCTTTCCGCATGAATGGATAAGCCCTAGCATGGCTGCAACTTAGCATTCTTGCACGTTTCCTTGCTCTGCCACACACCCCTCTCTCTCCCGTCACACATTTCACCTCCTAAATTCTTCCTCCACCCATGCCCCTTCCTCCTCCCGTACCCTCCCCTTCTCTCTCTCTCTCTCTGTCTTCCACACGGCACCTCCACCATCAGGTGCTCACAGCAGCATGGGAAGCGTATGCGGATAGCTGGAGGGCGGAGTTCAACCGCGGCTTTTGTGGCGCCTCAAAAGCTTCTCTCTCTCTCTCTCTGTCTCCCACCGTCAGGTGCTCACAGCAGCATGGCAAGCGTATGCGGAGAGCTGGAGGGCGGAGTTCAACCGAGGCAAGGCAGCCCCGCCAGCAGGGGAGGCGGATGGGGAGGCGCACGTGGGGGTCGAGGAGGGTGGGGAGGAGGAGAGGCGGAGGAAGGAGGTGGGGAGGGGTGATTCGGCATCAAGTGGCACATTGGTGGAGGAGTTAGGTGGGTTACGCTTGTGTGTCGCGTTTCCTTGTCGTGTGCATGTCCGGGCATGTGGGTGTGTGGTTGTGTGGGTGTGTGGTTGTGTGGGTGTGTGGTTGTGTGGGTGTGTGAGAATGTGTGGATGCATGCCTGCAGGCATGCAGCCATCACAACCAAAGCCTCTTTTGTCCCCTCTTAATGATCCTTATGTGCATGCTCACCCCTCACCCACACCAATCCCCACTCCACCCCCTCTTCCCTTGCGCCCATCAGGTGGAGCAGGCAAGGCGGGGGCGAGGGCGCTGCTACCGTGGCTACAGCAGCGGTACATGGAGCGAGTGGCCGCCTATGCTGACTCCCTCAAGCAGTTTGTGCTTGGCTACCGCGAGGGCTTTGCCCAAGCCTCCTCCCCCTCCGCCTCCTCCCCCGCAGCCTCCTCCGCCTCTTCCTCCTCCTCTCCTTCCTCCTCCTCCACCTTTGCACCCCTGTCTCCCGATGCTTTTCCCGAGCAGCCCACTCAGGATACCCTTTCTGCCGCTGCTGCTTCCCCTGCCTGTCCTGCTTCTCACCCGCAGGCTGTCAGTGCTGCTGCCACCACCACCACGCTTGACGCGCATGCATGCCCACCTCTTCCTCATTCTGCCCCTTCTGCGCCTCCTGCATCTCATGCTTCTGCTGCTGCTGCTGCCCCATCTGTATGCACGTCACCGTCCACCACAAGTAACTCTGCTGCCGAATCACAGCATGCTGCCGCAACTGCTGTTCCTTACGAACCACCTGAATACCCACCTGAGGCCGTACCTGAGGAGGCACCCGGAGATTCACCGGAGGAACTTGTGAAGAAAACATCAAGCTCTTTTTGAGTGCCAGCCTGGGTTGGAATCATTTTGAGCAGCTCCCTTCATTTGTGATACGGTAACGCAGAGTCACTCATGACACGATCACGTCATTTGTGATTACGCAGGACTTGCATTTGGTATTGATGATTAGGATTTTATCACTGTTCAAACTACCGCCACTGACAACAAACAGTATTTACGATACAGTAGCTATAAGGCCAAGGATACACAAGGCGCTGTGAATCTTCTGAGCTGTAGACACAAATAAAATGATTTACGGTACTGAGCCCTTCATATGCATTACTTCTCAACTAAACTAAACACATTGCATATGCAGGAACCTAGTACTCAACTAAAAACAGACAAACAACCAAAAGCGTTGCAGAGTGCCATCGCATGGGACAGCAGAAAAGGAGAGATGGATTGATTGGTTGGAACTTGGATGGGATGGGGGGGGCCAATGAGGGAGCCGTGCAAACATTGCGACAGCCCAGACTAGGACGATGCAGAGGAGCATTGCACGCATGGCAAGGCACACAAGAAACAATTTGAAGCCACAAAACTACTGCAGGACTACTAGTGAACACCCAGATTTCGTTAGGCAACCAACGATGCAGGGTGACGACAAAACAGAGGGGCAAGGGAAAGTAGCAGCAGCAGCCGCGGTAGCACTACGGATGGCTTGTGAGCATGGCACATGCAAGCACGCAAGCAACTCTACTCTATATTAACCTGCCTAGCAAAGCACAAGAAAATGTGTGCATGTGTGTGTGTGTGTGTGTGTGTGTGTGTGTGTGTGTGTGTGTGTGTGTGTGTGTGTGTGTGTGTGTGTGTGTGTGTGTGTATGTGTGTGTGTGTGCGAATGTGTGGGTGGGTGGGTGGGTGGGTGGGTGGGTGTGCGTGTGTGTGGGTGTGTGTGTGCTTGCTGGATATGCTCATGCTGGAGCAGCTGTGCACACAGCAGCAGGGAGCAGCAGGCAGAGAAACAGGCGGCCTAAGGAGGCGCAGCGGCGGCGGCGACAACAACAGCAGCGACAGCAGCACAGCCGCTTATGGCAGCGGTAGTGGCGGCAGTGCAGCGGCGGCTGCGGCGGCTGCAGCGGCGGCGGCCAAAGGGAGGGAGAAGCGCCATAGAGCCATAGAGCCATAGAGCAAGAGCAGAACCGCAGCAGCCTGCGATTGTGATGGTTACAGCAGGCAGGGCAGCGGAGCAGGCAGGGCAAGCGGGTGGCGCACAGGCAAGGGCAAGGGCAAGGGCAAGAGCACGAGGAACAGCAACAAGCACGAGCAAGAGCACGAGAAAAAGCAAGAGGTGCGCTGCGCATGAGCGCGAGCAAGTAAGCGCAGGGCGACCGGAATAGGCAGCAATGCTGCAAAGCATACTCAGGATGGGGTTGCACGGCACAAAGAAAGCGCAGAGCTAGACGACGGGAGTGCGAGACAGTGAAATCGTGGGCCATGGGGGTGTGGGGTTGCAGCCAGGGTATTGGGGAAATTGGCAAAGTCAGGAAAACGGGCATACGATGATGCGGGGCATGAGAACGGGAGGAAACGCGGCAACGGACAGGGACGGTGTGTAAGAGAGAGAGTTGGACTAAAGGAGGGGGGGGAGGATGCAAGGGTGACAAGGAAGCCAGAGTGGAAAGGGAAGCGGAAGGTCGGTGGAGGAAAGGGGAGAGAAAACGGGGTGGGGGACGAAAAGAAAGAGCGGGAAGGGGGATGCGAAGTATCTGGGCATTACAAGTGGGGAATGGTGCGAGTGTGGTCATTGGAGCGTGTTACATCTCCCCTCCGCTGGGCTTGGCGGGGTGGTAGAAGCGGCAGTTCTCCCTCTCACACTTGTTGCGCGCAGCATCACGACACAGCGTCACATGGCCGTCCGCCACCTGCGTGCAGGCGAGGAGGGACGGCGGGAGGGAAGGAGGGAGGGAGAGGAGGAGGGAGGGAGGGAGGGAGAGAGAGCAGAGAAGAGGAAGAACGGCGAGCAATGGTATTCAGAAACAGGGTGCTGGTTGGAGGGAGAGAGAAGGAGCTGACGGGGAACAAAAACTTCAACCCTAGCTAAAAAAACACACTCTTCCCCAAACGCAACGCAACCCTCGTCCTCCCTGTCTTTCCCCACCCTCCCTCCTCCCTATACCGCCGAAAGCCCTCACAGCCACAACCCCACCAGCAACAACTCCCCCCCTGCAACAGCCCCCTCCCGCCAGAGCCCCCCCAACAACGCCACAGAACCCCCCGGGTGCGGCAAAGAGGCACGAACGCACCTGCACGTGCTCGTCGGGGTGCACGTAGCGGCACGCCCCGCGCACACACTTGCCGTTGATGAAGTCCCGGCACACCGGCAGCCGGTCCTGCGCCACTGCTGCTCCTGGTGCCAGAGGGCCGGGGAGTGGGAGTCGGGGAAGTTGGGGGGGCGGTTAGGGACGAACCCGAACGGCACAGCACAGCACAGTACGAGACGGGAGGGACGGGTCGCGATGGGATGGGACGGGACGGGACGGGATAGAAAAGCAAGGAGGATGGAGGGCCGGGCGACATGGGGAGGAGTGGAAGGGGAAAGAATGGAAGGGAAAGGATTGGAATGGGGAAAGGCCAAGAGAAGCTAAAAAGGGGGAAGGGTGGCTGAGATGGGGAGGCGGACGTACGAGCTGAAAGTAGGGTTTAGGGACGAGACAAGAAGAACTGAGACTGGTAAATTAGAGGAACAGAGACAGACAGGGCCCAGGGGGGCACAGGCGGATGCGAGCGAGAGTGCGTGAAGGTGAGGCCGAGTGGGCCGTAGGAGAGGGAGAGAGAGGGGGTGGGGGGGGTACGAGCGAAACAACAGGGGAGAAGGAGAGGAAGAGAGCGCAGGAAGACGGCAGGAGGAGGAGGGGGCGGGGGAGAACGAGAGAGCAGAGGGAAACGAGAAGGGAGCAAGCAGGGAGGGAGGGAGGGAGGGAGGGAGGGAGGGAGGTGCGTGCGTGTAGGGTACGAGCGCACGCACGTGGGTGTTGGGCGGGGTAGAAGGGCGCAGGGAGGTAGCCGCCACCCATGGGCAGCTGGTGCATGCCTGGTGAACCATACATGGGCGGCAGCGCGGAGTAGTAGGGCATCTGGCACAGGGCATGGGCACATGGGGGAGGCACGAGCAGGGGAAATGGGGGAATAAAGGGGATCGGGGAGACTGAGAGGTGGTGGGAGGGAGGAGGGGATGGGAGGAACGGATGGAAAGGAAGGGGGTTTGTGGAGAGAGGAAGTTGTTTGGACAAGAAAGCGTGCAATGGGAAAAGGAGAAGAGCAGTGCGAGAGGAGGAAAGACGGCTGTGGGCAGGGTGTGTGCGAAGTGGGGGGAGGGACGGAGGGGAGAGGGACGAGGCGGAAGGGGAAGGAGTGGAGGAAAGAAGTTGGAGGAGGGGATGGGGGGACGGGGCGACGAGGGGAAGCGGGTGGGCGGGGTAAGGGGGGGGAGGGGAGGGCAGGGCAGGCAGGGGAGGAGGGAAGGAGGGGAGGAGGTGGCGGGGCGGGGGCGGGGGCGGGGCAACGGACCGCCACGTCTAGGCCCGACTTGCGCACTCTGTCATCGTCCCCGCCCAGCGATGCCACCGCCGCTGCATTGCCCACTCCCGGCGCCCCTCCTTCCTCCATCCTCATTCTCTTCGCCGCTGCTGCCTGCATGCATGCGCGGGCATGTGACACACACGCGCGCACACACATACACACATACACACATACATACACGCATGCACACGCATCTCCCCCCCCCCCCCCCCCACCCACCCCGCCCCGCCGCGCCGCGCCCACCCAGCGACACATGCACACATACACACGCATCACGGCATGCCACGATGAATGCGCTTGCTAGGTCACACACATACGTACGTACCCCACGTCTGCACAACGACTTTTGAGGCGCCTCAAAAGTCGCTTGCTAGGTCACATACGTACGTACCCCACGTCTGCACGACGCTAGGAAAGCTGCCGTGCACACATAAGATGCGCGGCACGGCACATAGCATGCGCGGCACATAGAATGCGGCACAGGGCATGCGCGCAACACATGGCAAGCGGCATATAGAATGCGGCACAAGGCATGCACGGCACATGCAACAACACATGCCACAGGCAACACGCACGCATCACACCCCATCCCCCCCCCCCCTTCTTTTCCCCTATTCCCTCTACTCTCGGCCCTCCACCCGCCCTCCTGCGTCCCTCCTTCCCCGCTCCTTCGCACACACACAGCACAGGCGATGCAATGCGATGCGATGGGAAGCGGTGGGATGCGGTGGTCTGACCTGGTTCTCGTACATGCTGGCGACGGCATAAGCGCTGTACGCTGCTTGGTACGGATCCATCTCCATGCCCTGCCCCGGCCGACTCACTGGTACCTGCTCCCATGCACATGCATGGATATGCATGGACATGCATGGATATGCATGGATATGCACACACATGCACGGACATGCACGCACATGCACGGACATGCACGCACATGCATGGACATACACGCACATGCATGGACATGCACGCACATGCATGGACATGCACGCATGTGGACGCATGTGGATGGAATGGGGGGAGGAATGGAAGGAGGGAGAGGGCGGGAACAAGAAGATGTAAGGGCGAGAAGCGGGCCGTGGAAGGGGGTAGGAGGAACGGGTAGAGGAGATGTTGAAACGTGGTATGATCGACATGGCAGCATGCGTGGTCGGTAGGGAGAAAGGAAGACATGAAGAAAATAATGTGGGTTCACTGTTTGCATGTGCGTGCATTTACGTGTGTGTGTTTACATGCATGTGCGCATACATGTGCGCACGTGTGTGTGCCGGTGTGCGTGCGTGCATGTGCGTGTGAGTGCCATTGTGCGTGCATGCACGCTTGCCTGTGTGCATGCATGCATGCATGTGCGCGTGCATGCATGCATGCATGGATGGCGGCGTGACTCACATCCTTGATGCGTGAGCGCAGAGCCTCCTCGGGGTGGTAGTAGCGGCAGCTGGCGCGCTCACAGCGGTTCTTCAGAAAGTCCTGACACACCT